GGAAATCTGTTTGCATCCATTTTATGGATTCCATTTGTTTCCTATGTTGGGATTCCATCATGTTCCTCAGCTCCTCTACTTTTTTTATCTGTGTCCTCTCTAGATTTATTAATCATATCTTGCGCTCTTGGCACAGTCTTTGCTGTTATCTGAGAAATTAATTCTGATTTCATTTTTTCCAGATCCTCTTTTGTTGCCAGTTCAGGAAGTCCAGGTGGTTGAGTATCAGATTGTTCCATCTCGTTTCCCTTTGAGATTACTGTAGGTGATCTGGAAGTCTGTTTTTGAGGCTTGTTTATGTGTCTTCTCATTTCCATGGTGGGGGCCAGTGGTGCTTCTTGCACCCGAGCCGCTCACCTTTTCTGCCCTAGGAGCCTGGAATGCTGGCAGGGGAGCCTCCTCCTGGGCGCTGGGATTGGCTCACCTTCTCTGCCTTAGGAGCCTGGAATGGTGGTGGGGGAGCCTCCTCCTGGGTGGTGGGATTGGTTCACCTTCTCTGCCCTAGGAGCGTGGAATGGCAGCAGGAGAGCCTCCTCCTGGGCACTGGGATTGGCTCACCTTCTCTGCCCTAGGAGCCTGGACTATTTGTCTTTTCTTAATCAGAGTAGCCATATGTTTATTTTTATTAGTCTTTTTAAATAGCTAGCTATTGGCTTATTGATTAAATCTATCGTATATTTATAGCTTTGACTTATTCACTTGTTTTCCTTTTTATAAATTTCTTCTTTGTATTTCTGTATTTCTCATTACCTTGTAAATTTTGGTCTTTGCTGATTCATAGCAGTTTTTTTCATACTTTCCTTCTCTTTGCAAAGCCCCTCTAATCTTTTTTTTCTTCTTCTTCTTTTTGATGGTGGTGGTGGGGATTCAAACCTTGTGCATGGCGGATAAGCACTCTGCCACTGAGCTACATCCCAAGAAGTCCTCTTTTGCCCTTTTTTAGTGAGAGGATTCTTCAGCTTTATCTTTCTGCACATTATATTTTCTCCACACACCCCCGCCCCCACACACAGTTCTTTTTAGAAGTTAGTGCTTCTGCTTGTTGAATTTGGTGAATCTCATTCATAGTGCTCATTCATTTTCATAAATGTTTGGTGATTCTTGGTTTGTTTATGTTTGTAACATAAGGGTCCAGTTTAAATGTATTAGTTTTCTTGTTCAAATAAGAATTCCATTGGATATAGGCTCTGATTAAAGGATCTGTTCTCTTGTAATTTTGGAGGAGGAGTGGAACTAGCAGGTGGCTCACCTTCAAGTTTTGAGACTTTCCTTTTGCTTCTCCAGCATTTGCCCAAATTTGCAAAGCTCTTACTGCAAAATGCTGCTTGTTTCATATATGAAGCTTCTACATGCCCTAGAATTGTCTTGTGATTATCCATATCTGAGTAATTATTATAGGTTTATGTTTTAATATTTGGTAGCATTAATTTTCTCATGGCTCTTTTCTCTTTTTGTTCTAAATTATGAAGGTACTTTATTTGATTTGGGAGGAAGAAAGGTCTCTGATGGTGGGGAAAAATGGTTTCTACTTTTAAAAAAAACACAAGAGGGGAAATTTCTGTTAAAAAACATAATAGCTTAGACTCTTGTTCGAAGTTTTGGTGAACTCTGCAGTAGCTCTCTTTTTGTAAATCAGGACTAGGTTCATGTGTTATCCTTCGTTAAAATTTTCTCACATTTTTCTCTTTTCATGTGCTCTTAAAGTAATATAGTTGGAAGGAACTATGTCTTGCATTTTAATTAAAAATCCACCAAAATGTACAAATTAGTTAAGATTAATTACAACTTCATAATATTCAGGATTTCTCTCCAGGACATAGGATATTAGCAAATTTGTCAGTGTTTTAATTAAATTCCATAAGACCAAGAATTAGTAACAACTTATGACAATCTTCAAAGTAGCCAAGTGTTGGTATCTTTCACAGTCTCCATCACTTTTCTACCCAGTTTAATAAACACCATAATAATAATAATTGGGCACTTCAAGGGTCAATGTAGACTTTTTTTCAGAAATCTTCAGTACACCTGGAAAGTTGAACACTAGATATTTGATAACATTAAAGAATTATTGTTAACTTTTAGCTGTGTTAAAAATATTTTGGTTATATTACTTTTAGAATGTCTGATACACACACTCTCTCTCTGTCTCTCTCTCTGTCTCCCTCTCTGTCTCTCTCTCTGTCTCTCTCTCTGTCTCTCTCTCTGTCTCTCTCTCTCTGTCAGCTATCTGGAATTTGCTTCAAGTTTCCTGAAGAGGAAAGTACAGTATATAGGGGCATGAAACAAGATTGACCATGAGTCTCTAATTATTGCAGTTGATAATTGTTGGGTTCATTATACTATTGTTTCCTTTTGTGAATGTTTGAAATTTCCACAACGAAAGATAAAAATACAGAGTTAGAATGTTAAAGCAAAGAAAAATAATCATAAGCTAAGTACCTTGATAGACATGGTGCAAAAATATTTTTGAAAATTGATTCTGTTTCCTGTCCACTTAAAGATAAACTTGTTTTAACCACATTGGCTCTTGTTCACCTTTTTACTTTCAAAATTATGTCACTTACAAATATAAGTAGGAGTATGCCATTGTTTTGCCATCAAGCTTTAGTCTAGACTTTTGTCATTAAGTATAATGTCAACCTCAGGATTTTTGTGGGTACCTTTATCAAGGAATTTCCCTTCTATTCCTACTTTGATAAATGATTCTTGTATCATGAAAGGGTTTTTTGGATTTTGTCAAATGCTTACCTGTGTTTCTACTGGGATGTCATTTGCTTTTTGTTCTTTGTTTTGTTAATATGTTATTTTTATTAAACCATTTCATATGTTTAATCACTCTTGCATACTTTGGATAAATTGTACTTGGCATTTGTGTTCAAACCTTTTGATATGTTGCTGGATTCATTTTGCTAGTATTTGGTAAAAATTTTTCCATCTGTGTTCCTAAGGGATGTTAGTTGTAATTTTCTTGTGATGTCTTTGGGTTTAGTGTGAAAGTAGTAGATTTTGTAGATTGAATTGAGAAGTATTCCCTCCTCTGGTATTTTTTGGAAGAGTTTGTGAAGTATTGGTTTTAATTATTCTTCAGGTGTTTGGTAGAATTTACCTGTGAAGCCAAGTTATGGGCTTGTAGGAAGTTTTTTATTACTAACTAGATCTTTTTTACTTTTTATAAATCCATTCAAATTTTCTATTTTCTCTTGAGTGTTTTCAAATTTGAAAAACAAAGCAAATACAAGTATGTATGAGATGTAGCCTGATGTGATTTTTTTTCAAAAATTGTTAATGTCTTTTTATCAGTATTATTTCATAATCTTCATAATGGCTTGGAATTTAAGTTTTGTTTTTTTGTTATTGTTTTTATCTCAGCAGCAATGCAGCAAGTCTTGGAAAACCTTACAGAGCTGCCCTCATCTACAGGAGCAGAAGAAATAGACCTAATTTTCCTCAAGGGGATTATGGAAAATCCTATTGTGAAATCACTTGCTAAGGTATGTATATTGGCTTATCACTAAGATTACTGAATTATTTTGAAAATGTGTTTTTGCAAAAGTAATAAAACAATATTGCTATTTTAGAATGTTGTTGGTATACCTAGCAATAGTTAACAAATAATAACACTTATTACATAATGAAAACTTAATACAGGATTTGCAAAAATAAGGCCAGTATTGCTCTTTCTGTTCTGTCTTTAAATACATAATAACATAACTCTTAGTTTTTAGCCTTATACTGTTAAAGTTTAGAGAAATCATAGTAGCACGGTTATGTTATAATGGGGCCTGTGAAAAAAATCCTGATCTTATCTCTGTTTTCAACAGCAAGTTATTAATTTCCTTATTTTAAGTTACAATCTGTACCATTTTTCATTTAAATTCTTCATTTATTCTTACATTTTTGAAATTTTGTTTATTCTTGCATAACTCTGGTCTGTTTCCATGGTCACCTCCTGAGCAATCTCCTTAACTCATTTATAAACATACTTTTATAAGCATTATTTGGTCCAGTTTCACTTTATACTTTCCCCATACTAATTTTTATAAACATCACTGAAGCTTAGTTTATTACCTTTTTCATAATCTTGCTATAACCATGCTGAAGCGTTGTCCCAAATGATTCTTAGTTTCAAGAACCTATGCCACATGTTCTATCTGAACTTACCTTCGTACAGCCATTTTGTCATTTGTTTTGCCTTAGCATTCCTAGAATGTTGATTTTACCCTTTTTCGTGGTTTTTCTTTTCTTTTTCTTTTTTAGCTAGTCTCTTGTTTTCTTCTAAGACTTCTGAGAAAATGTACCTTGTATAAAGTTTCCGTTAGTAAGAATTAATTAATGATGCAGATTCTTCATTTATTCAGTTACTTGTGCTAGAGTCACATTGGTATAAAGGCTGATAAAGTAATAGCTCAATGCCTGTTGAAATAAGTAGGAGCCTATACTTAATGGCTTATTCTGGGTTTGTATTGGTACTTTAAAAACAGTTTTCACACTTCTGTTGATGTCATACTATTGGTGGTTAGTTTTTATTGTCCATGAATCAGTTACAGATCTCCTCCATTGTTTAAAAATTTGTGGCTTTTGGGCCGGGGATTTAGCTCAGTGGTTCTGCTGCCTGCCTCACAAGTACAAGGTCCTGAGTTCGATCCCCAGTACCAAAAAAAAAATTGTGGCTTTTGATCTCTGTATTTAGAAACTACAATAATGTTTTTAAGGCATTTTACAACGTGCTTATCATTTATGAAGGTTTTTATACTGTTTCATTTTTGCAAAAATTTTATGAACTTAAAATATACTGTTTTATCTTTGTAACAACTTTATGAATTTAAAACTAAGATCTAAAGTAAATAAATGGTTTACCTAAGGTCGCTTTTCTAGTAAATGACAGAGAAAAGGGTTAGGACATGTGTTCTGTCTAAATTCTGTGCTCAGTCTACTACAACACAGGGTGTTTGAGTGTATGTGTATTTATTACTAACAACTTCTGTGGATAAAAATTTATTTTGTGCCACTGTTTTCATTATTAATAGTTGAAATGTTTGAATAACTTTTTGAGCAGGTAATGTACAACCATATGCTTGTTGATTATAAATGAAATGAGAAACAGAATCATCCAATAATATCCAACGTTCAAGCAGCATCTCAACAACAGAAAGCATCAGTTGTTAAGTTCAGTGTAGAAAAATCATAGGAATAAGGGAAGACCTTGCTGGTAAATTCTATATTAAACATTTAAGGAAGAAATAATACTAATTTTATATGATTTCTTTGAGAAAAAAAAGGAAGGGAACATTTTCTGTGTTGTCTTATGAAGCTAGTATTACCCTGGTTATCAAAACTAGCTAAAGCTATTTCAAGAAAAAACTACAGAACAGTGTCCCTGATGAACATAGATTTAAAATTAAGAAAATATTAATAAGACAAACATACCAGCATACCAAAAAGATAATACCTCATTACCCAAGTTTGTTTTGTTTGAAGAAAAAGTAAGATAGTTCTAATATTTTAAAACTAATCAATATATGTCACCATTTTAGCAGACATGATTTTTAAAAAACCATTTGATCATGTTAATACTTTCAGGAAATGAATTTCATAAAGCTGAATATCTGTTCCTGATTACAAAAAAAAAAACTCAGGGCCGGGGATTTAGCTCAGTGGTTCTGCCGCTTGCTCACAAGTGCAAGGACCCAAGTTCCATCCCCGGTACCAAAAACAAAACAAACTCAGCAAACTAGGAATAAAGGGAAACTCCCTGAATCAGATAAATGGTGTCTATTTAAAATCCTCACAGTATTATAATTCATGGTGAAAGAATGCCTTTTAAAAGAAGAGAGATGGGTAAGGGTGTCCACTTTCATCACCCTGTTCAGCTTCACACTGGAATGAAGCTAGTGCAAAAAGGGCAAGAGAAAAAAAAAGATAAAAAACATACAAATTGGAAAGAAAATAAACCATCTTTATTCAAGGATGACATCATTTTTATTGAAAATCCTTAAGAATCTACCCTGAAAAACCTTCTAGAACTTGAAAGTTAGAACAAATGTTGAGCTTATAAAGATTAAGGATACACAATCATCTATATAAATCAATTGCATTTCTATATATTAACAAAAATTGAGAATTGTCATTTAAATAGGGATAAATTTTCTAAAATACGTATGTACAAGAGCCACATACAGAAAGCAAAAATATTACTGAAATTCAAGAAGGCATAAATTCATACATATACATACAACATATAAAAATGAAGGGATTGGAAGTCTCATTGCTCTTGAGATGTAAGTTCTCCTCACGGTGATGTATAAATTCAGCATAATCTGGTCAGAATTTCCGAGAATTAGTAAAATATTCTAAAATTCATAAAGGACCTAAAATGTTAAAGCATTTTTGAAAAAGAACAAAATCTGAGGTCTTTTACACCCTGATTTCAAGAATTACTACAACCTTACAGCAATGAGCATTGTAGTACCAACCCAGAGATTGCACAAAAAGATAAACACATACATGGCCAACTGATTTTTAATAATGTAGTTCAATGGAGAAAGATAGTCTTTTCAATAAATTTGTTGAAACAATGGAATATTCATAGGCAAAAAGTGAAATTGTCCTTTTCTTCACACTGTATGTAAAAATTAACTCAAAGTTGACCATTGTTCTAAAAGTAAAAAATAAGACTACCAAAATTCCTAAAAGGATACATATCAAAAAGATTTTGTGACTTAGGACTAGACAAAGCCTTTTTTTTCAGTTGTCAGAAAGAATTGTATTTTTTTTGTGTACAACATGTTTTAAAATAGGTATACATTTTTGGAATGACTAAATCAAACAAAATAACCTGCATTGCCTCACATGAGATTTCTTAGATAAGACGTAAAAGGTATGAAGCATAATGAAATATTTGATAAATTAATTTTATCAAAAGTAGAAACTTCTTCAAAACATTCCATTAACATAAAGGCTTACTACAGACTGAGATAAAATAGTTAAAAAACATATTCTAAAAAGGAAGCTGCTCATTCTTTATGGTAGTAATACATAATGATACAACTACTTTGGAAGACAGTCTAGCAGTTTCTTAAAAAGCTAAACAAAGGGGCTGGGGATTTAGCTCAGTGGTTCTAGCACAAGGTCCCGAGTTCGATCCCCGGTACAAATAAAAAAATAAAAAAGCTAAACACACTTACCATATAGTTCACTTAACCATATAGTTGTGTTCTTTGGTATTTGTCCAAGTGAGTTGATAATTTACATCCACACAGATATCTGCACATAGGTATTTATATCAGCTGTATTCATAATTGCCACAACTTGAAGCAACCAAAATGTCCTTCAGTAGGTGAATGGATAAAATGTAATACATGTGTATAGTGGATTATTCAGTGATTAAAAAGAAATGAGCTATATATCTGTTATAGGACATGAAAGAACCTTAAATACATATTGTTAAAAGAGAGAGGCAAGTCTGATAAGGCTACATCTATATCCTTCCAACTATCTGACATTCTTGAAAAAGCAGAAACTATAGAGACAATTTTAAAAACTCAGTAGCTGGCCAGAGTTTTGTGAGACATGGATGAATAGGGTAAATTTTTAGGGCAATGGAATTATTGTGTTTGCATTTCTGACATGCATTTGTCAAAACTCATGAACTGGACAAGACATAGGGTAAATCCTATGTAAAGTATGGATTTTTATAAGATGTGACTACTAAGGTAAACTATGTATGAGGTGGAGAGGAGGTAAGAAACTACTTTTTGCTCAATTTGCAGTAAAATGAAAAGTTTATCAACTGAAGTGTATAGTTTACATTAGTGTTTACTCTTCGTTTTGTACATTCATATAATGCCTTTTCTGGTTTTGCTATTAGAGCATGCTGGCTGTATAGACTATGAAAATATTTCCGCTGCTCCTATTTTATGGAAGAGGTTGTAGAGAATTGGTCTGATTTCTTCCTTAAATATTTGGTAGAATTTACTACTGTACCTATCTGGGCCTGGTGCTTTGCGTTTTGGGAGGCTATTAATTATTGATTTGATTTAGCAGACAAAACTATTGGTATTATTTATATCTTCTTTTGTGTGGTGTGGTAGATGGGATCTTTCAAAGAATTGGTCCGTTTCATCTACATTATCAAATTTGTGAATATAGAGTTGTTGCCATCCTTGGCATCTGTGATGGTCCCTATTTAATTTGTAATATCAGTAAATCTGAGTCCTTTTTTCTTAGTTAAGCTAGAAAGGAGTTTGTCAATTTTATTGATATTTTTAAAGAACCAAGTTTTAGTTTCACTGATTCTTCTCTATTGATTTCTTATTTTCACTTTTGTTGATTTCTGCTCTAAATCTTACTACTTTTTGTCTACTCTGGATTTAATTTACTCTTCTTTCTTGAGTTTCCTAAAGTGAAAATTTAGATTGTTGGCTTTTAGATCTTTCTTCTTTTCTAATATTTGCATTCACTCCTATTAATTTCCTTTTAAACACTACTTTTG